CCAGAAGGAAGTAAAGACAGGCAAATCATAACCTGCAAAATATCAGGAACTAGAGAGAATACACTTCAGAAGCCTTTAAAATAGTGGTGGGTTGTGATTAATGAGATATTTCCAGGAGCCAGCCTGGTATTGTAGAACTGCCTGATAATAACAGATGACTAAGAAAATTGGAAGCAGAAGAAAAGACTACATAATGATTGGGAACAATAACCATACAGATCATTCATTTATTCTACTAAAACTGATCAGCACCTGGAATACCAGAGCAATGCTCCATACAAAGACTTATTCTCAGAATACTTGTCTGTCCAGCTATGCAAGAAACATAAATGGGAGGATCCAGGTCCAGGCCAGCCTGGGCATAAATGTGAGACCCTATTTTAAAAAAAATTAAAGAAAAAAGCACTGGGAAGTTGGGAGGCAAGGCTCAAACGGTAGAGCACCTGCTACCTCATGAGCAGGAGACCTGAGTGATCTAGTTGAGATTGGTTGAGATAGGGATTTCACATTTTTTCCCCTTCTGACATTGAACCACAATCCTCCCAATCTCCACCTCCTGAGTAATTAGGATTGCAGATCTGGGTCCCAACGCCCAGCTGCAATACAATTTTTTTATTTTATATGAGTTAGAAGAAGAAAAAGAAGCAGAAGAGGAGCTAAAGGTGTTTGTTATACTGTAGTAGAGGAGGCAGAAATTTGTGTAACTCAGGAGGAAATAGTAAGTTACATGTGCCAGTGACAAGCGATTATATCATTTATATCATTAAAAGCACCATTTAAAGAGGCAGATATTTGAAGCTTCTAATGTCATTGCAATGACAGGTTCCTATAAAAGGTATCTTCTTATCATGTTTAAAACCCTCTGGGCTGAAAGTATAGTAGAGCATATGTTGAGCATGCACAAGGCCCTCTGCTCAATCTCCACCCTTCCCAACAAAATAAAATTCTGGAGCTCATCTATGCACTGGTGGCTCACATCTGTAATCCTAGCTACTCAAGAGGCTAAGATCTAAGGATCACAGTTCAAAGCCAGCCAGGCAGGAAAGTCCATGAGACTCTTATCTCCAATGTAACCACCAAAAAGCTGGAAATGAAGCTGTGGCTCAAAATGGTAGAGCCTTGAGTTTACACTTGAGTTTAAAAGCTCAGGGACAGTGCCAGATCTTGAGTTCAAACCTCACAATCAACCAAAAAAAAATTCTGGAGCTGGTCTAGACAATCTCTGTGAAAAATTTACCTTCCAAAGGAGTTCCTTTTGACTGCCAATTTAGAATTACAAGTGTGGCCCAAAGATCTTTCCACTGGACCTAGGCAGAGAATGAAATACAGACACTATCACCTCCCTTTAAGTTTATCTCTTATCCTTTGGTTCTTTCACCTTGTAGTGAAAAGATTCTAGGAAAGAAAATTGCAGTACAATTGAAATAGTTCTTGGAGCAATCTCTCCACATTCAGTAAACAAATACAATATCATGCATACAATACAATGTGCAATACTGTATACAAATGTTTGTGAAAGCTCAATCTCAACCAATCTCAATATTGTATACAATGTGCAATATCACCCATGCTGCACAGCAGTATCACTACAAAATAAAGCCAACAAAAGACACAGTGGCAAGACATTATAAACAGCAAAAACTGGCATGCACTGCTACCCTCTTTCAGAAATGACATTCTGCAGTTTTATTATTTCCCCCCCTGCAGCTTGAAAGGGGAAGATTGGTTATTGAGAGAATTCTAACGAATGCCAGTGCTCATTCAATGGCCACCTGAGAACTCTGGAAAGGCATTATTAGGGTGGGCAGGACCAGGGCTCTGCTAGGGCAAAGAAACCATTCCTCGGTGACTTATGTAAGGCTTAAACATGTTGGATTCCTAAGACACTTTCAATGATAATTGAGCTAGAAAATGTGCCCTGAAATTAGGCTTCATCCATTCAGAGAAGATGGGGACAAGGTAGGTTCCAGGAAAGATACATTTTCTTTTTTTTTCTTTGTTTTATTGTGAAAAGACTGTACAGAGGGGTTACAATTACATGGACAAGATAATGAATACATTTCTTTTCAAGCATTGTAGCTTCCTCTTTTGTTTCCCCTTCCAGGAAAGACACGTTTTCATAAAGGCATGCGATCTAGGATGAAAGTCTGCCTTCTTGCAAATCTTTTCCAATTCCCATTCTTCATTCTTCATGAAGCCTACTTTGTATTGTTTAAAATTGTGACTCATCTTCTAATCTTTTAATCCTGCCTGAATATTATTATTGTTGCTTTTGTTTTGAGGCAGTGTCTCAAAGGCTAGCCCTGACTGGCCTTGAACCTGTGATCCTCTGGTCTCAGCCTTCCCAGTCCTGGAATTATAGGTGTGTACTACCATACTGAGATAATTATTGTTATTTATTCTTGGTGCCAGGGTCTTGCACCTGTTAGGCAAGTGCTTTACCATTCAGTGCAATTTCCAACCATGGTACTTTATTTTTTAATATACAAATCTTACGTGTACAAGTTGATAAACCCTTATATCTGTGTGCCCTCAGACCCACCACTGCTGTTAGGGTACAGAGCTTTCATAGTACCTCAGAAGGATTCTTTCACAGTACCTCCCAATTAGGCCTGTGGCCACTCCTTTTTTTTTTTTTTTT